AAGATTAATTTAAAATAAATTTTTAATTATTATTTAAAATACATAAAATCAGTACAGATTCTCGGAAACAATAATCAATATATCCGTAAAAAATAATGGGCTCGTAGAGTTAACCACAAAATCATACATACTAATAAACAAAATATTTATAAAATTTGATATTCGCTGATAAAAGTACAGATTCGGTGAAGTAGTTTATTAACCACATAAAGCAAAAAATTTTTTTTTATTTTCCACTTCACAGACCTTCAGATACTTTATGGGATTTTTTTCGAAAATCACTTAACTTCATTATTTAATTAAATGGGAAAATTTCTCTTATAAAAGGGAATATACATATTGTATTTGGTGAACCATTAAACTAAATATAAAAAAAGTATCATCCATCCAAGTGAATTGGGATTTTTTTAACTTTAAGATGCAAAAAATTAACAAATGGTTGTACTGTGTTAAGAAGTCAACATAGATATCTTCAAATATTATTATTTAAAATTCATGAATACTAATTGAATAGTTTTCACAAATGATAAATGAAATTCTATTATACAGTATATATGCATATAAGATACAAGTTTCAAAACAAATTCTCTTACTGTTAAGCTATCATCTTTTATTTTTAGATGACAAGTTTTACATTTCTAGTGGCAACAAAAATCTAAAAGTAACTGATCTGCCTACAATTATCTATGATCGATCACAATTACTGATGTCATAAGTGTAGTTTAATATTTTCTTATATTATTTTTAAATATTTTTATATTTCCACCTTAGCTAAATTCATTTATAAAACTATTTAGCTTATGTCATATTTTTGTTTTTTGTTTATAATATTTTTACCGGCAAAAAGTTATTATTAAATTTAATAAATAATAAAATCCAAAATAAAAAAAACATCTTCACCATTCATAACAATAAAATCGGAATTTAATATAATAATTATGTATCTTTTATTAGCCACTACTTCTTTTTATACCCAACGCCGGTAAAGATTAATCACAATTTAAACAATAAATGTTAAAAAGTTATTAATTAAACAATGACTAATTACTGCTTGTAATTTTTGCAATCTTGGCATATTATTTGTTTTAAATATGTACCCGTAAAATATGTAAGACAGAAATGCTTTTTAAAAATATGTCAGTTTATTCATTATATTTTTTTATAAAATTTTTTATATTTACATTTAAATTGAAGCCATGGAAATACTGCAATGCACAGAAAGATATTATTTACATATTAAAAGTACATATATAACAATCAAGATGTTCAAATAATATATTTACAAATCTCAAAAAGTGCCTTCACAAAATCAGATTTATACACAAATATTGACTCATATATCACATAATTATTTTTTTTTAAAGTGCAGGTGTATTATCTGCAGTCAACATCAGTACCTTTTAAAATGCATCAAAAATATAATAATATTAAAAAAAAAATGCATAAAATTATTTTAAAATCAAATTATTTAACTGCTCGATTAATAAAATATTAAAGTATAACGAAAATACGAAACATTATTGGTCTTAATACAAAAATGTTAAATTCAAAAGTTACATGTTATATATACCTTCTGCTCAAAAAGTATCCGGATTTTGTTGTTTGTTAACTACTCCTTAAATAATAGACCTTTTTCAACAATTTTTTTCTATGTTGGTATACCCTTTCTTGACATATGGTACAAATATGACCGTCATCTGTCAATTAGTTTGATTACAGCAGCTGTTCATGTGAGACTACCTCAAGTGCATTTAGCGATTTTTTTTACTATGGATTTACTATGGAAAATTCTTTTTTCCATAGTGTTTTGACCAAACACGGTACCACTGTCATCGCTCAGGCACCATATTCGCCAGATCTGGATCCCTGCGACTTTTTACTGTTTCCAAAACTCAAATTGCCCCTTCGTGGTAAGCGTTTTAAATCGATTGAATAGGTAAAAGAGAATACGCTGAAGGAACCAAAAGCCATACCTTTACGGGCCTACGAAAAGTGTATGGAAGATTGGGTTAAGCGTTGGCATATGTGTATTGCTTCAGAAGGAGCATATTTTGAAGGGGAAAAAATAAATTTGGAATAAAATTTAAATTTGTATGTTTTATTTACAAAATCCAAGTATTTTTTGAGCAGAAGGTAAGCCCTTAACGAAACTTGTTAACAATATTATCAGAGATCTTAAATAAAAAATTCAAACTAATCCAATGGCAATGTAAAAGTACTGGTTAATATTGTAAGACAAATTTGATTTGGTTTATAAAAAACTAAAAAAACATATAAATATAAACATGATATATGCAAAATATTAATATTGTTATGCATCCTGGTTTTTCTAGCAAATGGATGTAGGCAAAAATCCATCCATCTTACTTTCTTAATAGATATAGGCAAATGAAAACATATAGGCCGGTCACCCCAACTACAAGATGAATGTAATTAAAAGATAATTAACACCCACTCACTTCCTAATTACAATGATAAAGACGTAGTCGTACGTTTACTTCAGATAATATTGTGCTTAATAAGCAGTTCTGGTTTTATGTCAAGAATTGGCCCAATCCTTTCCCTCATTTACCATACCAAGCTCTTAAGCTAATTCAATATTTATCGTGTGATCCAATATGTATTCTCTGGGATTAAATATGTATTCTGCAGTTATAAATACATTCTGTATAACATATTGATCTTATTAAAACTACCCTATAACATATATTTTAAAGCAATCTTAAATATAAATATTAGCTACTATCATTGAACGAATTGCTTATGGCATCAGTATTTACTAATTTACTTAGTAGAAGTCACAAGTTCGTTAGTTAGTAAAGATAGAGAAATACTGGAGATAGTAAAACAAATATACTTTGAAATACTTTGATCATATCTTAGGCACTGAAAGAAATATGGTCTGCATACGTTGATTATTAATGGCCAAATTAAAGGAAAACGGTGCCTGGTACATGAGAGATGTCGTGGCTTTACAATCTAGTTTAATGAAAATACAAGATCGACAAAACAAGCATCTTATCAACATTGAAAGCGGTTTATATATTTAGAAGAAAAAAAAGTTTTTCTAATGATTGCAAATATTATTAAACTTTCTAATATGCCTGAACTACTCGACGATATTCGAATAACATTTAAAGCATAAAATAATTCTATATACTTATGGAAATCATCTCATATTTTAGCTTTAAATATATTTTTAATGTGTCCTTTTAAATAATTTAATTAATTTTTTTAATTATTTTTTACTATATTTTTTGAGTTCTATTAAAGAACGAACCTCTACAAAACAATAGTTGCTTAAATATTCTCTAAAAAATATTAAATACGTTTAAAAGCAAACTAGAGAAAAAAAAATCAAAAACATTTTAAAAAATCAGTGTTTTTAGTCCAATAAAATATACTGAAGAATCACAATTTTATGTTTAAATTTTTAATATTTTTATTTACTCACAAAAGCCTTAAATACTATAAAAAAATAATCAGAAACAATGAGCTTATTTTTTTTTAATCAATTAATTACGTTTTTAATCAGTTCACGAAAGTTAAACCGTTTTCGTTTATTTTTATTACATCTTCTAAAAAATATTGGTCAATTTTTGTTCCAAAATAAAAGAGATTAAATTAATCAATTACAGATATTCTAGGTTAGTAGTTACACTGCTACTATTGTGTATAAAAAAATTTCAATTACAATCCTTAAAGAAAATAGATTATTAAATTAACTTATCAGTTAAACAAAAAAAATTTAAAAGTGGGGTTCTAGTGTATGCAGTAATAAAAGTAATTACTAAATGAGTCCCCAGTAGATAACTAGCCGTGCTAATTTTGCTGGCAGCATTCCGTTAATATAGAAAACTTTGGTTGGACATAGATAAGCACTATAATTACCCCATCAAGCATATCATATAAATTTGATAGGTACTTAAGAGGGAATTAAGTTAAATACTAAGTATTTTTAATTTACTTGCTCAACTCATGGGAACTTATTGGGAATGATAAGCATTTTAAAATTTAATATTAAAAGTAAACCTATGACGTTATAATCTCTTTAAATTTCTAATATTAAAATATTATATATCAAATAAGTTTTATTTATAATGCATATTTGTTACTAAATACAGAAATTAAACATAAACGAAAAATGAAAGCACTGCTATTTTGCTATATGGGTATACTTAAAAGTACTGGAGTACGTTTTTCTTATAGTTGATAATAAATCTAATGTTATCAAAATTCATTAACATTGCTAAATATTATTTATAAAATATGGTAAAATATACAAATAAAGAACACAGTTTAAGATTCCTCGATCCAAATGAATTTTAAGCAACAACCTAAGAACTAACGTCTTTGGTGTATACATATATAAAGTGTATACCATATCTTAAGAGTTAAGTAGGTACAGATGACCAAAATTCAGACATTTTCGAGTTAAAACTAAAATTTACGTAGTCTTCAATCTAAATTGAAAATTTGAGAATGAAAGCAAGAGAGAAGCTCGACCAAACTTCGATCACAGTGACTAGGCTATCACGAGGTATTTATTTTTTAATTGTATTTTAAGATTACTTAAAAAATATACTTATATTTATTCATTTGAGTTGACTTATAAAGTATAATACTTGCTTCACATCATTTTTGTAGCAACTGAACTTACTTAACGACTACGTTAAAAGAAAACAACCAATTTACAATAACAATGATGTTGTTTTGTGTACTACATAAGTTTACATAAAATTGATTTTAGTAGGTAAAGCAAAATAAAAAAAAAATTTGTTAAATTTGAATTATAGAAAATTGAAATTTTTAAATTAAATAAAAATTTCTAACTTAATAATTGATGTGAAGGTTATATCAAACATAAAGTAAATCAACTTGTTAAGAAGAACA